TCCGTTGGAGCACGTCCTGCCTTCCTCTGCAGGGGAGAACAGGTCTCTACCCACCTCCGTGTGACACCCCCTCACATACCTGTGTGTCGCCAACAGATCTCCTCTGAGTCTCCTCTTCTCCAGGCTGAAGAGACCCAGTTCCCTCAGTCTCACCTCATACGGCATCCCCTGCAAACCGGCCACCAACCTTGTGGCCCTGCGCTGCACCATATTCTGGACCCCAAAGTTAAGTTTGTGATTCTCTCACTTCTTCCAGTCATATATTACCATGCCGACTTTTTTGGAAAGCCAAGTTTGGGAGGTGCTCCCGCCATCTTTAATGTGTAGACCAAAGAGGAAGAGGCAGGAAACATTTGGAAGCGATGCACTTTGCGATTGAATTTCAGGCGCAGTTGGCTAATGGAATGTGTGGTGATAGCTGGGGAACTGAACAGGGAGGATGGAAACCACGATAAAATAGAAATTGCTTGATTGTATGTTGGGTGGTTCATGGTTGAAAAAAGCAAACAAACCATGAACCCATCGTGTTGTGTGAATACAGCCACTCACTTGCCCTGCCGCAACCCATGAAACTGAAAGTCAAGATCGCACCGGATTTTTGTGGTCTCTCTGCACATGTGGTATATGGCATTTTGGTTCAGTCTTGTGCTAGAATGCAAAGGAGCAGAAGTGCTGAAATTATGATCGAGGGCACCCTGCAGTTCGCTAGCTGAAGACCTGAATGCAACCTGACTGAGCTTGCAGTTTTCCACTCCAATTAAACGCAGCAGCATTTGATACTTTGCAGTGTTTTCCCAATGGCTGCCAGTCACACACCTGGGACAGATCAAGTCACATTCTTTGCACTTACATGGTATCTCAGTCTCAGCCTTTGCACTTACATGGTGTAGTTCTGGTGAGCACTACTAACTGCAAGCAAAACACTGGACTGCAAAGGAAGGATGTGGGAACCGGAGAGAAACGCAAACCACAAACTCCCTTTTCTTAGAAATGAGTTTATTTTTTAAAAAGTCATTACATTCAAAAGCAATGCTTACGGTAAAGTATAACATAATTGTAACATGGACCTCTAAGTATTTTTTGAAAAAGTCTTTTAAAAAACTATTAGAGCATTTGCAGGATTGATAGTATTACAAAATGTCTGCTGAATGATTACATAAATACTCTTAACAAATCTTTGGTCTGTTGCATACTCTTCCATAATACCATGTTAAATTAATGTTCTTCCAAAGCCACAATCCTGAAAATGCTTGCCACCACCATTTCCTTCTTCCCCATGATCCAACCCAAAACTTTTCTCTTTAGCATCTGTGTACTTTGGAAGGCTCTCATGGAAATGAGTAATTTCTAGAGTTCTCAGGTGTGAAAAGCATCCAGAATTATCAGGATGCGAAGGATGCGTGACCCTTGACTTTTAATAACACTGATAAGATCAACTAAAAGCTATTAAATTAATAAAACACAAAGAAATATATCACATTTGCTAATGGCAAATGATCATTTTAGCTGCAGTTTTTCCCACCGGGATTAACAAAGTGCACCAGTAATGTCTGTACAAACCATTTTCAAACATTAAATATACATACAATGACATTTTAAATATTTTGCATAAATTACAGATTTTTTCAAATAAAAATTACATCTGAAATATAACTTGATATTACAGAATACAAAAAATACCTATCTTGCCTTCTTGGAAACTCTTTGCCAATTCTAGCACGAGACGCCATTTTGCCTTTCAGGTTGGAATGCTTAATGCTTACGGGACTTCCTTCTGCAATGCAAAGCAATGGCAGAGCCAAAGAATCGAGAGAAAGACTTGATAAAACTTCTCAGCTGGGGATGGACTGGGTGCACTGGTGTTACATAACGCCTGAAGAGGCATTTCAGGTTCGTGATCATGGAGTCCGAAAGGTGGACTGTATGTGGAAGGTCTCAGTCTTTGGCATCTTTCATTAAAAGTTCCGGAGACAACAGGAATCGGAACAATAACGTCCGCCGGAAAATCTGGGAAGCCAATGGGTAGAATCTAGCCAACAGATGATATGTGCTAGCTCAATGGCTTGATTCAGTGACTGGCTTGTAAGCGTAACCTCACTGGATCCTCCAGCCTGTGTGGGATCACACCCACCCCTTCCCATGCAAGGAGATTTCATTTCCAGACCAGGGTTATTGGTTTGGGCAGCTTGCCAATCAGCAGTTCTGCGCCAACTGCCCCTAAATTATTATTTTTAATTTTATTCTAATGGCATCCATGGTGGCCATGGAGTGCCCAAAGAGTTGAGATTGGTTGGTTTGCAAGCAAATGTTGATCCTGTTGAGACTCAATAGCCAGCAGGGGTGTTTTTTTAAAAAAAAAATTCTGAATTGTGCCTGCGGGGTGGTTGTAAGCATCAGGGGAGGAGCTCCGGGGACCAAAACAGCCCACAGCTCCAAAATTGAACTCTGATGATGGCGATCTGTTCAAACCACAGTTTAACTGAGGTTTGATATGCTGGTTTGAATTGTGCTTAAAGAAACCATCATTTGTCATGTCTAAGTGCAATGGATATTTCTACTCCAAAAACAGAAAGTTTAAACCTCTCTCCTCATGTATGGTCAGGTGTGTGAGAACCTGATTCTTGTACTCGTAAGAACAAATCATAGTTTGTTGTTGCATCTGAACCAATGAAATGCAGCTTCAGGCATTCAGTAATTTTCCACGAATTCTGCCGCAAGCACTCCATGGGATACAGAAGCACAGAAAAGGAAAAGGGTTTACCACTGAAAGTATGTAAAGTTACTAGGAATATGTAATGTACAAGGTGTGAAGACATAAAAGGAACATGGTCCTGTCGTTCAAGCCAGCTGCCCTGTTCTACTATTTTTCCCACTCATTAAATTCCACTAAAAAAGGTGAATTTGCTTCGATGGATTAAAGAGGATTCCATGCCTTACAAATCACTCACTCTATCGAATAAGCTCCACCTTTCTATGCTTAGCTGCACTTTAAATGCACATTTTGTCACTCTAGGATTATAGTGCAAGAGGAGTTAGTCATCCTGCGGCTACACTGAACAGTAAGGATGCTAAACCCAGGTGGATTCTGGAAAACCGCGTTCAGGGCGTTGGTGCACCTTTTGTGAGTTTATGAGCAGGTGAACAACCTCAAAAAGGAGCTGCAAACCACCCTGGGCCACGAGTCGCTGCACCTGTGTTTTACTCAGCCACTGGGAGCTGGCGCTAGAGTAGGTCAGTTGACAACTACTTGGATGTGGCATAAGTTACTTTAAATTCAGTAGGGGCAGGACTGTTTTTGTCATAGAATGCACCGGAACAGCATTCCGGCACCTTTTTTTGACAGATTTTTCCAAGTGATTGTGAATCGTCCCGTTGGGCGTAGCAGGTCAGCAGCAAAAATCATTAACATAGTGCCTGCGGGCTGCTTGTGCTCCTTGTGTGTCGGCGCTGATTGTGAGGGCGCTGCTCGGCGTGGGACGCTGCTCGGCTTGGGATCAGTCGTGTGGTCGTGCGCTGAGTGCTTACTGCCGGCGGCGACCATTGTGTAAAAGCGTGACCCCAAGACGTGAGTTCCCGCACCTTTTTTTTTTTTTTTTTTTTACAAAAAAAGCACTGAGTAGGGGCTAAGTTAGTTGAAATCAAAGGAGCTTAAGTCATGACTAACTTGTCCTATTGATTTCAATAAGGGCCAAGTTAAACTAACTAACTTAGTTAACTTAGTTTAACTTAGTTAAACCTTGATATTTAAGTATACACTGAGATCAGTACCTGAAAAACTATGGGGAGATTCCAATGAGGTGCTTCCAATAACCATTCACAAATGGAAGCTGCCATTTGCAGAACATGATGCGTTTGCCACCTTCCGGGGAAAGGCAACTGAGCGAGAACACTCACTGCTGGAGCAGGGCAGGTGGGTGGAGCTCACGAAGAGAGCTCCACTAGCCCATCCCAATGGAGGAGCCGGTGCTTCTTCTCTTCGCTCGGCCACACTATCTGGGATGCAAGAGAATCGGCGTGGGCATTGCCCCACTGCAATGCCCAAAGTGTGGGTGGATTCTCCTCCTCACTGCTTTGCCCTGCACTCCATCTGCCCCTACTTGCAGAGAAGGCGTAGATACGCCCCCATCCATTGCCGGCTTGACGCCAAACCGGGAAAAGCACCTTCTTTCTTTAGTCAGTAGGTCGGCATACAAAAGCATGCAAGTTCCAGGCAAATGCAGTGCCAGCCACTCAAAAATGCTCAAAGGGGGGCTCGATGGTCCTGGGTAGCATTTGGGGTGGGGACGGGGAACAGCAGTGAGAACCAGTTAGGCATACAGGTATAAAATACAGCACTTACAAAATACAATTCTGCCTGCAGAAGACTGGGAAAAATAGACATTTCATCATCTGGAAATATAAAAAAGGAGCTGACCATTTCCATTTTTCAATTAAGACTCTAACATTTCCCCTAAACGTATTGTCTGTAGAGGCCTCTACACTGGGCAAAATACAACTATCTTTTTCCAGTGTTTTGGTTGCCAAAAATGATCCCTTATTAAGCAATGCTATCAGTGCACGGGTTGCTTAGAACTTCATCTCCAAGGACCAAAGCTCAACCTCCAGTGCTCCCAGAGTTCTCCTGGTCTCCCAGAAGGCCATGCCTCCTTTCCTTGCCCCTTACCCAGTCACTGATCATATGGGGGTTTCCTGGCTCCTGGGAGGCCTTTTCCATTCTGAACAGCCGAACAGCCTTCCCAGGGCTTACTCAATCGCAGTATGAGCTTACGCTAAAATACGCTGGTACCATCTTGGAAAGTTTTGGCCCTTTCCTCTTTGCATTCAGTTGCATCAGAAACACACAAAGCAACCTTCTGGAATGCTCTAAGTTTTCCATCAAAGGTGGAAGGGGTGGGAAAAACGCAAAAGCACCGTATGGGTTGGATCCAGACTAGCACTGCAATCTCGAGCACGCCTGCGTAGAAGCTGGTGCTGGTCTTCAGTAAGAACGGTTGGGAACCCAGCGTTAGAGTACTGCCCTGTGTACATACTCGGGTGGGAGCAAGCACCACTGGATTCAGCAGGGCCTGTGGGCAGAGGTGCCCAGGACGGTTCAGCTAATGTAGTTACATTCAGCTTCTAATTAAATTAATAGAGCTTAGCTTTTCACACTGATTTAATAGGACCTAATTGCAACTAATCTCATTGCAACTCTCACAGCCTGTATTTTTCTGTATGGCACAAAAGCAAAATGCATTTGGATTTTAAAGTGTTTTTATATCGATGCCGTTCTGAACTTGCTGCCAATTTATATCCACATGAGATCCCGATCCGCAGACCAGTTAAAAACAAACAATGTGAATCAAGGACTGGAACCGAACAACCCGACCGCTGTAAGTAGGGCTGCCACTGAGTTGGGGATAAGGCCATACAGCAAATCTCATTCATTTACCATTTGGACCCCAGAAGCTGCTCCTCCCATCTCCCAATAACCTAATCTAGTTGAATAAATATATTTCCCTTAAAAATCAGGCCTGGCCTCAATCAATATCCCTTATTTTGAAGGCTCCAAAGTAAGTACCTTCAGGAGAGTGATCCAGTAAGGAAGGGTAGGATACCTGGATCCCCACTATCTCGCCAGACTTCAGTTTGAAAAACCCTCCCACGTTTACAGAATAAAAATGGTATTCTGAGTCTCCCGACCAGTTCTTCGTGCTTCCACCTTTCATAAGGACCACCGAGTTTCTCTTTTTAGCATCAGTTTTGGTCACGTACAACATCAGCTGCAGGATGCGCCCAGTCAGGTTCCCTGCCGTTTCGTGGTGTCGGAAGCACACGCTGGCATACAGATAGTAAAAGCCATCATGGTTGGTGACTAATTTTCCATCGCTGAAAGTCATATTAAAAACGTTCGCCCAGCCCTTGTCATGATGCCAGGATGTAAGGTTCACTCTGTGGGTGCCTAAGAGACAAAACGGGCGAAGTTGGCAGGTTTTCTGGCAAATCCTTGCAGGTTTAATTTCACTCACAAATTCGGTAGCATACAAATATCATCACCTGCAATCATTCTGGCAACCAAGCTTGCTTGGAAATGCAGTCCTGTATCCTTTTGATAACTGTTTTATCAATAAGATGCTGGGCTTATTGGACAATATAAAATAAAATAAATCATGATATAAATAAGGTGCCCTGAAGCAAATAAATGCATGCCTTAACTGCTTGTTGAACTGTTTCTACTGCACCGGCACGATACACGGCAACTGCAGTGGAAGACTGCGAAGTCTTCGGACACAACGTCGTAGCGCCCACCTTGTCTGTCAGGGTCAACTCGTACTTTGGGGAGCCAAAGGACAGTTATCCGAAGAACTGTCGTCTCTGGACAGCCATCTCAATGGGATGGTGTAACTTAGTGTCCTGCCATAGCCGGGGGGCGGAGCTGATGGCCTTCTGGCCCCTTCCAACCCTCCTCTTCCATCCTTCTATGATACAAGCGCCTTGGACACCATCTCCCCCCTTTCTCTGGCCTGCTTTCGCCTTTGTGGCTTCATCTTTCAGAATAATTCTGCGTCAGGTCCACAGTAATTACAGCACGGCGTCCGAGGGCAAGAACGAGAGCCTGCCCGTGGAGGTGAGAACAGCCGCTCCAGCGAGCTCATGGTCAAGGCAGAAGCAGCGCTGGCAAACGCACTGGGGCTGAGAAGGCAACTCAGCCCTCCTGGGGTGCTGGGGGGCGGGGGGGCAACAACCAGCGGCTCCCAGATCCCGGAAACACTCCCCGCCATGAGGACTGGGACATGCCGGCACTTGTAGGATCACTTTCTGTCCATATGCGTCAGGACAGCGCGTCCAACAGCCGCGCGGCCATCACAGCTCGGCGGATCTCCTTTGGACCCTTGACATGAGATGACAAGAAGGGACCTCGCGTGAGGTCCGACATCCTACCGATGCATGGAAAATCCACAACCTCACAGAAGTTAGGGACATTTAGAGGTTCACATTATCCAGCTGCTGCCTTCTTTACAAACAGGCTATATCCAGATGTCACACTAAAGCATGCATTGCACAAACTACAGCTCATAATCCGGGGTCCAACAACACAGGGCAAACCTGTTGGCCTCACGGTAGTTTTGTGAGCAGTTTGAGCCCCCAGAAGTGTACGCATCTATGGCTTTGAGCTGCTTCTCTGCTGGGTTGCTCATCTTCTCCCTGGGTCAGTCAAGCTACAAAGCCCTTGTGAGTCAAAGCATTTTACACAGCAATTTAGACATTACTCCAAGCCATAGTTCATGCAAACCATGGTTTTTAAACCCAGGTCAGACCATGATTTCTAATTCTGGTTTGAAAATGTCTACAAACCATGGCTTATCCATTCAGAAAACACACCAAACCATTGGTACACTTAAAGCTTAGCATGGAAACGTATAAATTATTCAGACAAAAACAGATAAAAACCAGCATAAATCAGTAAAAAAGTCTCAGTGGGGCAAGATTATAAAGGAGCTCACCAGCGGGAATTTTACTGCCATCAATGATGAGGTGGGCAAACGGGGGCTTCTCTGGTTTGTTCTTCTTGGCCAAATCCAAATGTGACGTTCCCATTATAACTGCACAAAAGAAAGCATGTTAGAACCACCTTGCGAATCGCACAAGTCTTTCAGAATCCACCGGCATTAACCACTTCAGTACTTACATTTATCGGATTTTGACTGGTCTTTCTCAATAATGAAACGTTGTACTTCCTGAAAATGAAAAACGGTGTTTTTTAAAAATGTATGATGTAGGTAAGTTTCTTGCAGGTTGGATGGCAGTGGTTCATTTCCAAAATAAAAGGGGCTGAAGTTCATGGCTTCCTACAGATCACAGCCCCCCAGGCTTGTTTCTACACATTTGTCCTTTGAATTGCATCACAGACTTCAGGCATAAATCCAGAAAACAAAACAGCCTTCAGATGCTTTAGAGAAACCCTGACTCAAAATAATATGGGATTTCTGTACTCTTTTTTTCTTGTGTTCCTAATCTTTGACCTTCTTTTCTAAGTGAGGGCAGGAACCCAGGGTCTACCTTACCCGCTCCAAAATCTTGCTTTGCAGCAATGACTTCGCGACTGCTTTGTGCGCAACTTCACTTTAGGTAAAGGTCATTCCCAAAAAATGCCCCACAAGTCAACTTCTTAGGAAAATTCTCTTTAATAAGTAGTATTGAAGTCATAGAAATCATTAAATATAAAAACTAATGAATTCTCCCTCACTCCCTTCAAGCCATCTGGAAATACTTCACCGAGATGCTATCACCCCTCTCTGCATTTCGCGGCCCCACCTTGCTGGCTGCCACAAGCAGGGTAGGACGAGGTCAACTCCACAGCCTGGTCACACATTATTTATTTACATTTTACTTAAAATTTTATTTATTTATTTAAAACTTTTCTAGATCGTCCCATCACCGAAGTCTCGGGATGGTTTAACAAGACAAAATGTAAAAATAAAACACAGCGTCCTAAAAATTCAACTAACTATAAAACCCCAATTAAAACAGGCAGGGCTTAAAACATTGGGAAAATAAGAAGGGTTTGGCCTGCAGCCAAAAAGAATAAACTGACGGCGCCAGGCAAACCTCTCTGGGGAGAGAATTCCACAATTGGGGTGCCACCACAGAGAAGGCCCTCCTTTGGGTAGCCACCCTCCTAATCTCCTTCAGGAAGGGCACCCGGAGAAGGGCGTTTGCCCCAGATCTTCAGAGGTGGGCAGGCACATATGGAAAGAGATGCTCCTTCAGATAACCAGGCCCAAAGCTGTTTAGGGCTTAATAGGTCAACACTGGAGAAGAGCCTGATGCTGGGAACAATTGACGGCAAAGGAAGAAGGGGGCGGCAGAGGATGAGGTGGCTGGATGGAGTCACTGAAGCGGTTGGTGTGGACTCCGGGGGATGGTGGAGGACAGGAAGGCCTGGGGGAATGCTGTCCATGGGGTCGCGATGGGTCGGAAGCGACTTCACAAATAATGTAACACAACATAACATAAGGTCATCACCAGCACCTTAAATTGGGCCTGGGCTTCACCTGGAAGCCAGTGTAGGTGCAAAAGAGCCGGTGTTCTGTGCTCATACCTGCTGCCGGCCCTTGTTAGCAACCTGGTGGCTCTGTGCTGGCCCAACTGAAGCATCCGGACTGTCTTCAAGGGCAGCCCCGTGTGGTGTGCATCACAGTGGTCCATTATCGGTGTGGAGAGGGCACCCCCGATTGAAAGAGCAATGGAGCCGTGCACATTGCATGAAACAAGGGCTCAGCCCTGTCTGTTCGGCGCTTCACCGCTCTTCCTGCTCCGGCGGTTGCTGCCCTCCAGGGCTCCAGACTTTCTGCTGTGGAGCACGCCTGGATTCTTGGAGGCCCATCGGGGTCCTCGGCAGCACGGGAGCCCCGTCTCGGGTGCCAAAGTGACGCTACACACGGCCCCTGGAGCAGGAAGAGCAGCTCCCAAGATCCGCTGTCCTTTCCGAGACGAACAGCGCGAGAACAGGGCCAAATGCCCCGGTGGAGCTGGAGCTCCCCCCTGGCAGAGCACAGCTCAGCAATGGTGACAGGCCCTGGCACGTGTGCAAGCGAGCGGAACCGCGGCCTGGCAGGAAATTCACCGGTTTCCATCTTGGCAAGCCAGGGAGGAAACCAAAAGGCAGGCACGAAGCGACCAACTGCTGTGACTGAATAAGCAAGTCACAGGAAGTCGCCCGGTGAATCGTCACAAGAGGCAGTAGCAGCACGTGCCCGCAGCGACGGGGAAGGCGGGAGCAGGAGCGACGGATGGGCGGGGCCGCCTGCCGCGTGCACGGTGGCGCAGATGTCGCTGCGTCCTGCGGAGGGCCTGGAGGAGAGGGCAAGCGGGAGGCCTGTGGGGACGCGGGTGCTCCGTGCTCCCGAGAAGCGGCGAGGCCGCGGCAAGGCACTGAGCTTCCCCGGCGGGCCTTGCTCGCCTGTCCTGTTGCTGCCAGCAGGCGCGTTCTTCCTTCGGCCTTTGGCGTGGAAGCTGCGAGCGTGCCGGCCCACTGCCTGGGTGCAATTTAGTGTATTCTTTGTCCCCTGCCTTTGATTGATTCGTTTCTGCTATAATTCCGCCAATGGAACGCGCTCCCCAGAGAGGTCCGCCTGGCGCCGTCATTATTTGTTTTTTGGCGCCAGGCGAAGACCTTTATATTTAAAACTTATTTTAATTGTTAAATTATTTGTATTTATAGGATTTTAATTTTTTAGCCGAGATGCACTGGGGGTTTTTAAATAATTTTTTTATTGTTCTATTGTTATTATCTATGTATTTATGTATTTTGTTTCTGTTGTGAGCCGCCCCAAGGCTTCGTTGCAATGGGGGTGGCATAGAAATGTTTTAAATAAATAAATAAAATAAATAGTCCAACAATATTTTAATAATTTTTAATATTGGTTTATATATGTTTTTAACTGCAGCCAGTGTGTATCTGTAATTCATCTGTGTTACGTTTTATTTTATGTATGTAAGCCGTCCTGAGGCCTTTGCGGCAGGATGACATATAAATATTCTAAATAGATATAAATAAATGAATAAATAATTGAGAACGTGCTGCTGATCAGGCTATTATTGCTGGCTGCCTTGAGTGCCTCTTTTAGGCCGAGATGTGGGATGGATGCAAAATGAATGGACTAAATAAATATAAAACATAGTCTCTTCCATGGGTGGGTTGTGGCAGCGAGTGTACCTGCATCAACACCATGCTTTAAGCTTCTTGGCATCTATGTGATGGAAGAGGTTAGAGGCGATAACGTAAACTTGTAGCTTGCATTGCCCTGTAACAGAAAATTCCAGCAAGCCATCTGTTCTGGCTACAAGGGGCATTGACCAAAATTGTCTTTCTCTGTCATTATTGCAAGTACCAGAACCCTCACCTTTCTTGGGGTTTCATCAGCCTAGAGACAAAAGCAGCTTAAAAACTGGACAGGGCGTATAGGCTTCAGTTACGAACAGGCAATGGGTAGGAACACGCGGAAAGGTTGGTTCCACCACGGAGGAGCCGTGGAGCTTCCATGGAAGGAAGGAAAGATCCATCCCTCAGCCGGTGTGTTCAGCCTGCAGGAAAAGGTTTCCACGCATCTTGGCAAACCACTCAATCTTTCTAAACTACTAGAGAGTCTGGCTATTGGGTGGAATTGTGTAAACTACCCTGAAAAGCCAAAGGCACCAAGCACCGAATCACTGACCAGAAGGAGAGCTACCGCAAGTTGTCTCTGGCCCTGGGCAGGACTGCATGCGACGCCCAACTTGGCAGCGGCAGCAGCATCCCCAAGTGCTTCCCAGACACTTCAACCTCACACACATTTTGCACACCCTGGCGCAAATCTTCCCGACAATTCTGTGCTGTTGTCCCAATATAGCAACAACTCTGTGCTGCTGTCCCAAGGAAATGGAACCTGCCTGCAGGTGCCCAGCCTGTCCATGGCAGAAGCCAGGTTTCTTTTTCTTTTTTTATAAAGATTTGTATTGAGATTTTAAACTAAAAATGAAAAGCATCAATCATCAAGCACATTGGACGTGCTGGCTCCGCCCCCCACAACGTATCTTTTGGCAGACGCCAGATTTCAATGGGGGGTTTTCCTGGCTGGCAGCTTTAGTTCTTCGACTGCTAAACTAGAGGTGACCCACGGACTTCTCCCTGCAGCTGCCACAGTCACCGCTGCATGTGCAGGTTTTGTTTAAATCAAAATAAACATTCCAAGAAATCGACCCCAGTGCCTGCTTTCGGACTTACTGTGGCATGGGACTGATTCACAGAAGTGCCAGACATCCCAGGAAGATACTTTTGCCCTGTCTCCATGTATGCATGAGTTTAGGTGACGTGCTCTCTTTTCTTGTCCTTCCACCATCAGGGCAAAACACCCTACAAGCCCAAGGGCCACATTCCCAGATAAGAACCTTTCTGCTCAAACACTACACATAAGGTTTCCTCATGAAAGGCCTCCCTGGAGGTCTAACCCATGAAGGGCTTTGTTGCCATGTGCATACAAGTCTAGGCCTGAGTTCTCCCCAAGCCGACAGGACCTGGGAAAGCTGCCAAAGGGAGAAGATGGTGGAAATATCTCCAGGAGCTATTTGCCAACCTCTCCTTCCTGCCAAACAGATGGCAGAGTTTTCTAAAGAGTGTGGTTAGAGCCTCTGGAGTACCAAAGACCTTCTAAGGTCACATGCAAGAAACCAACAAACCAACTACAAGGAAGAAAAACATCGTTTGTCTACTTAGTTCGAATAAATTTGATAAGCTGAGGAATGTACTGACACTTGCCAAGAAGATCCAAGAAGGAAAATTGGTGTCATAACCTCTGATATGTTTCAGAACAACCACTGATTTCAAAAGATAAACGGAAGAGGTTTCACGTAGAGGGCACCCTGACTCTCACCAGCACTGGAAGGTTCCCAGCAGGTCAATGGACGAGCCAACCAATCAGGATAAGTAACTGAGAGGCTTCAGAAGACTGTGAGGAGCCCAGGGCATATGAATTGCCTGTTTCCTGTTCTTCTATTTGATGGCTTTGCTTCCACGAGCGCACTGGGTTTTTCCCGCTCTTCTAGCTCTCTCTGCACCAAGAATTCACTAATTGCACTGTGGCAAATGAGTGCTTGTGCATCTCAGTTCTGTCACCCTCCAATTATTGGCACCAGATCATTCTTATCACTGCAGGAAATGTGGCAAATTGTAGAATTCCAGTCTGGCTCCCCACGCAGAGGCCCCTAAGATCTGCGAATATATCCTCGTGTTCCCACAGCCTCTGCTGACTGGCTTGTTTTCCTCCTCCAGAAGTATATAGAAAATGTTTCATTTAAAAAAATAAACCCCATGGATTCCTGATGCATTTAGGTGTTCACAAAAAGTGGGAAACATTACAAAGAAGATGCACAGACTGGCCATTTTGCTAGGACAAGAAGCTGAAATTGGTTCATCTCCACTCCGCACAGCACTAGACCTGAACTAGGCAATATATTACACATAAATACTATTGTGTCTTTCCTGAAACACGGAAGTCAAAGCTCACCCATGCAAGGATTTATATCCATGACTTTATGAAACGCTCATGAGACGATGTTCCTGCGATGCCCAGTTCCTTCAGCACAATTCTGACAACGCTTCTCTTTAAACTTTGAACTAATGCAATTAAAGCATTTTGCTGCCATCTTTTATTAACAGAACTGCTAGGAAATTAGAATCCCTCAAAGGCAATCAAGAGGAAATGGACCAAGAGATTCCCGTGCAGGGGACTATTAGTACATATCAACCGTCATCTTTTAAACGTCCCTAGATTAGATTGTAATTACATTTAAATAGAGCTGGATGTTGTGAGGCATGAGAAATCAAACACCACGAAGGCCCTCTGGAAGTTGGGAAGGACTTCCCATGAAATGCTTGTGTTGCATGTTCTGACAATTTCATGGAAGGAACCATGGTGTGCGCAGTTTCTCAGACCTTCCTACATCCAGCAAAAATATAAAAGCCTGAGAGCCCATGTTCCTGGGGTCCGTGAAGCTCAAACGGGACTGGATCTCTTCAGAAGAGAGGTCAGGCAGGTCTCGTTTGACAGCCTCCTGGCGGCATGGTCACCGCACACGGGTTCCAGGTGTTGGGTGCTTGGGAGGCAGGTGCTATCTAGGACATTATGAGGTGGCACAAGTCCATGGAGAGCCCACATGGTGTCTCCTCTTGAATGCGCAATTGCCCCTAAGATCTGCATGGCTACTGGATGTCAGGCTGATGAGTCCCCAGCCCTATTTGGGTACTGAAGGCAGGGCTGAAATCAGCCCAAGAGGAAGAACGCTCCGGTCCCACCCTTCCTCCTGCATTCATCTTGGCCTCCTCCACTGCAGAATTTGGACTCAAAGAGGAGCTTCTCCTCTTCAGATAGTCTCCCTCCGCAGGAGATGAATGGAGGTGAGGGTCTGGCACACTCCTTCTCCGCAGGAGTGGACGTCAAGCCTTTTCTCAATGCCTTGAATCTCTAACTGGCAGAGAGCAGCTTTGGAGACTTTGGAGGGGACACTGATGCATGGCCCTGGTCGAGAGTGAGCCCAGTGAAGGGCCCTCTGCTGCCTGTTCTTCAGGAAGAGATGTGCTAGGTGCATAAAAGCAAACATGCACTTAATGTTCAGGCTCCCAGGAATGGTCTCTCGTGCTGGAGGTTGAGGGTCTTCTTTGCCTCAGCATGGATAGGATCGTGCTTGAGAAAAGCAAGCAACGGACGATGTTCAGCAGAGAGCCGAAGGGATGGACGCAGGCTCCCCATCACCAGCCTTCGGCTTGAGCCCAGGACAAAGCACTGCGTGTCTGGGGCAACGTTTTAGTGTGGAGTTGTGTGATGGGGGCTTTATGCACTGCTGGCATGAACTGACCTTTTGCATGATTCCCTGGAACGCTTGCTTCATCCTTCTGCATGATTCGGTCATGAACCTCGCTTCTTGATTGACCAAGGTTGTCTCCTGCAGGTCTATAGTTCCCTGGAGTCTCAAGAAAGTTCTCAAACAGTGCGCATATTCTTCTGACATTCTGTTAGGGTCCATCTGAAACAAATTGTTCAAAAACTGGTAAGTGCTTTTATGTCAAGGACTGTGCAAGGACCCCAAACACAAGTGAGAGAAATTATCCTGGAGAAACTCTTGCAGCATGCAAGTTCTTGGTTCTGACCCTGTGCGGCAACTTTTTAGGTTCTTAAACAATTTATGAGCCAAGAACCCGGTGGCTAAAAATACAGTTTTCTTCTGCTTCCCAGAATGAACTGCATATGTATCCTTTATAACTGGAGAAAATAACACATGAAAAAAGATTCTGATGGGGGAAGGAGAGATTATTTCTTGTGGGTAATCATTGTGCAGCTCTTAGCATTGCAAATAGCATTGATTGATTGATTGATTGATTGATTGTATTTCTAAACCACCCCATAGTCAAAGCTCTCAAGATGGTGAACAAAAGTTTAACCATAGAAAAACAACATGATAAAACATAATACACAACTTTAAAAACAACTAAAAATAAAACCAAACCAATATCAAAGTGAGCAACAGTATAAAAATGCAACACATTTTAAAACAACAAAAATTGGAGAACGAAAACGCCTTTGGGAATAATGCCTTTGCCTGGTTCCCAAAAGGCTACAATGCAGGTGCCTGGCAAGCCCTCTAAGGCAGGGGTCCCCAAACTTTTTCACCAGGAGGCCAGTTGAAAGCTGCCGGTGGTGCGCCCGGGCCAGCGAGGGGCGGGGGCGCAGCGAGGGGAGGCGAGGTGCAGGCGGGTGCACAAGACAGTGGCTTGCTTGCTTGGAGATCGTTTTCTCCGAGCAAGCAAGCCTCTGCCTCCCCACACATGGGGCGAGACGGGCAGCGGTGGGCGCCTGCATGGGCACATGTGCACGTGCGGCCAGTCCAAATCTGTGGTGGACTGGATAAATGGGCATGGTGGGCCAGATCCGGCCTGTGGGCTGTAGTTGGAAATCCCATGCTCTAAAGGAAGTATTCCACAATGGTTGGGCCACAACTGAAAAGTCCCTCAGCTTTATGAGCACCTGCCTGCGCTCCAACAGAGCCAAGCTCAGGGAACCCAGGTTCCATTTGGATGCCAGGAAGCACTTCCTGACCGTTAGGACCCCGAGGGTGTGGAACGGGCTTCCACGAGACGTGGTTGGGGCCCCATCGGTGTGGGTGTTGAAGGACAGGCTGGACGTGCACATGGTGGGCATGTCGTGAGCGGAGCCGGCTGGAGCCGGGGGCTCAGACTAGATGGCCCGGGAGGCCCCTTCTGACTTGCTCTGGCTCTGTTTCATTTGGTAGTTACATCCAGAGTGGTGCTTCTGAAGATAATCTTAGGGTCGGGCAGGAAGAACAACACACCAGGCAACTGGGTCAAATCTCGGGCTGCAAGTTTCCAGCCATCTACATTTTGCTTTGGCTCTGGGCATCTTGGGAACCAGGGCCGCTCCAAGGGATTGCTTGCATACAGGATCCCGGGTGAGCTAAACGGACCCAGTCACGTTTTGCAGCTGTTTACACAGTTGTGGGCCATAACCACAGACCACTGGGGCATTTCACGCCAACGGGATCGTGGGAACAAGGCGTGCAAGAATGCCCGCGTGGACACCGAGAACAAGCGCCCCTTGGGAAGCTGCTTAGCACCACGCGAAGAGGCGCTGCACAGCGCCCAAAGGGGTCTCGCGCCCGGCTGAGGTTCACAGTGCCACTTGCTTTGTGCTCCTGAGCACGACACACACCTTTCCCCTTCGCGTTCAGTTTCACCCGTGGTGGCGTATTATACCCAGAGCCTCAGCATACAAATGCGAATGCTTCAGAGGGGGAAAGCGCGTGCAGAGAAACTCTGCTACAGAGCAGTTCCACCTACTACTCATCTGCAAAGCAAACTAACTTTTCCACAGCTACACCTGCACTGCCCCCGCACCGTTAATGCCGCTTTTTGTTCCTGCACTTCGCCAACACGGCCGTTAGCTCTGCCCAGGATGATGCCAACCTACCATCTCACGATGTATCGCGTGGATGCCAGGCAAGGAAACAGAGAGAAGATGTCTAAGCATCCATCAAATTACTTGTCAGCAGCCCAACTTGGTCAACCAGTGTAAGGCTGCACACCAATATTCTGCAGACTGGGAGGCAGAGGCGTTGGCAAAAGATGGGGTTACAGAGAGATTTCCCAGCTTGAACATCAAATGCCTAAGATGAATCCAACCCTGAAATCTACTCTGTTGAAAGCTTGGAAGAGAGTTTAAGGGAAAAAGTTGTGGCCAACTGGTGGCAAATGAATGCTATATTCTGCACTCAGAGTACAGCACTCAAAAAACCCTTTTAGCTAAGGTTCTTTCCCTCTTCTCCTCCATTATTCTCTCTTGCTTAACTAGAACAGGACTTAACTGTGTTTAACCCAGGACTGAGCCGTGTGGTGCACCACCCTTCCCAGACTCCGCAAAAATCGCATTTCAAATTGATTACATTCACCTGTGATTTTATTTGCATACACCGGAAAACAGTGAGGAAATGATTGTTTAAAAAAGGAGCGCAGGTCTGAAATCAAATGCAAGAGCAGGTTGAGAGTGGTTAAAAATTACAGCAAGGCAACTGAAAAGACTCTTCGCAAAATTAAAAGAAAAAGTCTCAGCCAACTTCATGATAGCCCCCGTGTCTGCAGCTCTGCCTTTTTACTCCTTCAGTCAGTCCTACCCTGTGGCAAACGCAGGGTCTGCACAAGGCTCGAGCAGTAACATAACCGTGGGGAAGGAAACCGAACACACTGAGCATGGGGAAGAAATCTTGCAGGTTGTGTTGTTGTTGCCGTTGATGGTGATGATTTTCCTTTTCAGTTGGCCTCCTAAAGGTATTACAGCAACACAAAATTTGGATATTTTGTTTTGGCCAGCATGGGGTATCTATGATATAAACTGGCCGGTTAGTGTCACTCAAACCTCCACAGTATCTTTGCATGTCTGTCCAAAATCCAAATCAAAGGTGCTCAGGTGTGGCAGGGGGCCCGCTGAACGTGAGCCACTTTAGAGCAGGTGCTCAGCAAATCTGAAAGCCGAGCCCGAGGCACCGAGTCTGGTGACAGGTTCAAAACTACATGAAAAGCTCAGGAGAATCTTTCAACCCTGGAGAGAGGGGCGAGAGACCAAGACAAGGACCGGGGACCTCCAAAGGACCCCTCGGATTGGTGGTGTGGGCCTTTCCGGCTGGCTACCAACGGAAATGCTGTGGCAGCAAGCCGTCCTTGAGAAGCCAATGGTCTAACTTGTGTTTTGAGTAGAAGCTATCTAAAGCAACCAGAAGCTGCCTTTGCGGGGGACGGCCACGGAAAGCACAGGAGTTCCACAGAGACCATTCCTTAAGGAAGATGCGGCTCCAAACATCGGGCGGGTCCTAGGCTGGTCCAGACTCTGGATTGACGAGTCAGACTGGCTTCACCAGGTGCTCCAAATCTCCCGTACTGAAGGGCAGAGAAAACTATCGGGCTTTCCCTATGTTCGTTGACCCTTGATGTGTCACACTTAATAGAGGATTTCCTCCAAAGCTCGCTTGCTCACTTTCTGCTCAGCGAGGAGCACCAAGCCCATTTCTTCTGCATTACTGAGCCCTTTTCAGTTCCCCATTTTTGTAAGATGGCGGAACCAGAACAAGGCACCCTATTTGGCACGTGGCTGCACCACACTCTCGCACACCGGAACTACGCTTTGCGCTCTCCGAGGCTGGGAAAGTCAAAAAGAGAAAATGAAGTATGGAAATGAGCTGCAAACAAATTGGTTTCCATTTATGGTTTCTACTATGCAGGTTCATGTCGAAGGCGACTCACCGTCACGGTTGGCGAATAGAGCAGAGCCCTGGAGGATGCAAAGAGGTTCTGAGACGATCCTCTTCACTGTGATTTCACCTCATGGCATTGCCCTGCCTTTGTCAGGCACTGCGACTGGCACAGCACAGCACAACCTGTCAGCCTCTGAGCCAAAAGCGGTCCGGCCAGCAGGCGCCCAGACCTGGGGAAGCCGAGACCGACGAGGCATCGCACGACTGGCGCAGGGCGGGATGGGTGCCCGGCCGAGCCTCTCTCTGAAGGGCAACATTCGGAACCGAAAAGCTAAGAATAACCTGCTGGCAGCCCTACGCCCGGACTTTGGATTTTAAGGTCCTGAGTCCAGACCTGATGCTGGAGGACAAGGGCTACAAACAGGGCAGGGAACAGTAAAAAAATAAGCAGATGTGAGTCTTGGGACAGAGCACCAGGATCAGCTGTGGGACAGATGCAGCGGTCTGTGCCAAGTCCTCCGGGATGGACTGCACTGGGATTTCAGTGCCCACACCTTTTACAGCACGCGGGAAGGAGGGCCGAGGAAGAACATCTGAAATATGTCCCGGAACCACGACGCTTTTTGACAGGGAGAATTTGGTACTTCCACAACCACAATACTCAGCAACCCAAGATCATGTCCTTCCCAAGAGTTTAGTTTCCTTGGCTTGGAACGGCCAGTTGACTGAGACGGGATGTGCAAGGCTCAGATCTCAAGTTGCTCCAACCAATATATGAGGCTTTGAATTAAACTGCAGCAGTCCAGCTGCAGAGACACTGGCTTAAATGGCTTGAAGAGCGAATTCAGTGAAGAGTGAATGAAGGCGGCCTCGCAGCCCAGTCCTGTGCTGGCACACAGATCGCACCTACGGCGCATCCTAGTGCCCCCAATGTTTTCTGGGGGTCTGCAGATACTTCTGGGAAGCCCACCACACCTGGAAAGGTGCAGGACTAATGAACCCAGAAACCCCATCCAGCTACTGGCTACGGTCCCTTCCAAAGCGTGTCCCAAGGAGTACTGCCCAGAGTGCTTTGCAAGCTCACCATCTGAAATGAAGTGATTTGCATCAGTCGGTGAACAGATCCGTCAGGGCAAGAAAGACAGTCAGAAGCCGGACTGAACTGAGTTTGTTTCTCACTCGGAACAGAGTCGTTGGAGCCGAATGGAAAAGATTCAGTGGGGCAAATCAAGCCAAAGGGCAAAGAGTTTTCTCCCTGCTCATTAAAG